ATACAGCAGTTTTGAACATATTTACAGATTATGTAAAGCCATTGGCAATCCTCGGTGCACCTGAGAAACGCCCTGAATCTTTTGATTTTAATCAATTGAGAAAAATGTTAATGAATTATGAGGGAACTGTTGAATCAGATCATGTCATTGGAATTCCTTTTGATTTGTTTTTCTGTGCTGGTGGTGCTCGAGATCATATAAGAACAGTGTATATTGGTTAGAATTACAAAAATAATTTTTTTAAACGCGTTAAAGTAAGGGAGCTTCATAAGTATACACTGAACACCTACATATTTCTTCTCTAGTGTAACTCAGTTAGCTTAATCTCAGTTAGATTTACTCTCAGCTCTATTGTAACTCAGTTATCTTAATCTCAGTTAGATACTTTACTTACTGTCCACATTTGCAGAAATATTTATTGCACTTAGACATTGTAAGGATGAACATCTATCTGTCGACATTTGAAGGCTTAGGCAGTGTTAAATAATCCATAACATTTATATTTGTCTGTAAACTACCATATTTACAGAGCCCCCACAACAATTAACGGAATCAAAAAATTATGGTGTCGTCATCTTTGATAAGGAGAATCCTAATATTAAAGTCTTCGAAGATTCTGCTGTTTTCTACCGTGATCATATGGCTGGTATGAGGAAGCATCTTGTGAAACAGGATTTTAATGAATTGATTCGGCAAGCTGATTTTCTTTCTGATCAACTTAAATCAAAGTATAAGAATTTAACAAAAATGATATTACAAGATGAATATATCGTTGTTCGTCTATTTGAATCAAATCCAACATTGCATATTGCATCTATAACACCTAGAGCACTTGTAGAATTTATTAATGATTTACAAAGTGAAAAAGGAAATAATGAGGATTTGAAGGAATACTATGATAAATTTCACGAAGGATTGCAAAAACGATGGGCCAAAGCTCTTTTTAGTTATACATTTTCTACTAGACATCCGGAGAGACTTGGAGAAGTAGTTATTAAAGAAGAACACGTTGGAAGTTCAAGTTCTAGAGGCAAAGGAAAGGAACATGAACCAGAACAAGTTCTTCATTTTGACCCTCACAGTGCCAATACGAGCACTTTTTATGTGGCTATTTATGGAATTGAAAATCCCGTAAAAGAAATTCATGGAACTCAAGATTCAGCAATTATTGCAGCTATAGGTGATGCAAATACAAGTGCTCATTTTATGACTGCTAGCGGAATTAGTACAGGCAAGTTTCAAAGAAAAATAAGGATTATCTTAAGCAATATCGAGTCTACTGACTATAAATTTTTTAACTTCCCTGGGGTAGTGATCAAATTCACAAAACTACCTTTACTACATTCCGAAAAACTTGTAGACTAACATTCTTGGAGTCAAATTATTTACATTACCAAAACTGAACGGGAATTTGCACTTCAGTCGATTTAGTATTTATCAATTATTTTTAATTTTAGGTCGATTGGGAGTTGAGAATGCTGTTAATGCTATTAAATGGTATAATCAAGGCAATGATGAGTTAAATTTGGAGGCAATGTTAGGTGCCGCTTTGAAAAAAGTTCGAAGGCGAGTACTTGAGAAAGCACAGGAATATGTCAAGATACAAGATGGAGTCCGAATGGATCTTGAAAATTGAAGAAGAAATTGAGGATTGATTTGAGAAAAAGTAGTGATTTGAAGTTGTGAACTTTTTACTTTTATTGGGGCTTGATTGGGCTTTTTAGACTAGGGAATAGAAAACTTTAAAAATGCGATTTGAAATTAAATATTTACTAGATTTTAAACATCTAGAGCTTCTTTTTTAGCTATTCAGGTGAAAATTTTGTAAGGCCAAGAAGCCAGATTCTACCAATTTTATCCACAGGTTGGGTATATTTTTTGGGTTTTTGCGTAAACGCAACGCAATTCCAGAATTTAACGCGAATAACTCAATGCGATCACCCACGATTTAAACTAGTCCTTGATCCGGAACGAACCAAAAAAAGATCAAACCAAAAACTTCGATTTTTTGATCGTTCAGTTTCGAATTAATTAGAAATGAAGAATCGGGACAACTATTCTTCATTTCTAATTCTCTTTTATTCTCTAAATTTCCTTTTTATTCTCTAAATTTCCACCACAAGGACTCAACATTGTTGACCGTTGAGATCCACATTATTTATCTTTTTTGAATTGTATTCTTTTTGGAGTTGGATAAATTGAAACTATTTTATTTTTAAATTTTATTTTTATTAAATATAATTATGAGGCTCAGACCTTTCGGACTAACGCACCTTCAGAGCGCCGGTTGTGGGTTTGAGGATTAGTGGGTGAGGCGCAGAGGACCTATTGACTAAACAAACTAGAATAAAGTAAAACATTTATTTAATATTTAAAATATATAGATTAAATGAGTTATTGGTTCAACGCAAATATGGAGTAATAGGGAGAGTAAATTGAGTAATCATTGGAGAAACACATTTGAATTTAATCATTTGTTGTTCATCTGTTTGTAAAATAGTGGGGAAAGTAGGAGCGAGGAAATATAATTTACAAAGTGAATGTTCTAGGAAAGTTGGGGAACAGTGACTAAGATAATGTTGGGAAAGGACTTGTTTAATGAAGATGTTTACATATTTTGCGAACGTTTGGTAAGGATAAGTGATGGGAAAAGGAAATTAATAACAATAAATGTACGAATTGTAGTTATTACGGGAAGATAGGTGATGGGAAAGGAAAAGTATAATAAATAGAAATAATGAGAAATAATCGGAGTCGGGACTTGATAAATTTATAATTATCGAGGCTCGAGTCCGGGGCTAAAATATGTAAGTCTGCAGAATTTTCTTTCCGTCTATTTGATAAGGAAAAAGTGAAAATTGCTTTCCGATAATTGATAGATCTAATGCCTAAAGTCGTATAAATTAAGGTTTTTATCTTTGATTATCTTCTTCTGCCAATACAATTCAAGAATTGGTTAAAGCAACAAAAAACAAATTTTTGAGTATTAATAATAATATGTAATACATATGTCATTTTTACCATAAATTATGATTTTTTTATTATTGTTTTATTTGTTTTCAACGATGTAAGTGGACACCCTTTCGTTGAAAGTTTTTTATGAATAAATATATAAATATCTGCAATTATAGATTCCAGAACTATCGTCCTTGTCTGTTGTTCATATCATTTAATTTTTTACCAGTATTTACTTTTAAAAATATATTGAAAATTTTTATTTGATTATCTAAAAATAGAAAAAATTTTTAACCGATTTTTTACATTTTTCGATTTCTTAATTTTTAAAAATTATTTTCTTCATTATCCTGCTACTCATTTTTCTTTAACAGACCATACATGTGAATTAAATTAGGAACGTGTCAGAATTCGTTCCCCTCTCCTCTCTAAGGCTACCGTTAAATAAAAATCGCAAGGCGCGCGTGATTTTTATGTAGACATAGCCTAGCATTTCTTCAAAACTCTATCTATCGTGTACCTAAAAAATTCCAAAAAAATATTTTCAGAGAAACTCTTTTTCTTTAAAAAATTCGACTCCTTTAGAAACTCCTCCTTTTTAATACTCAACTCATAGCATTTCAGTAGTAAGTGGTCGGGGACCGTCACGGGGCGCGGTAAGATTTCGGCGCACTATTTAAAAGGTATTGAAGGAGTCGTGGGGGGAGCGGTCCGAGAGCGGTTAACCTGTGCCTAAAGGAGGGTTTGAGTGGACAAACCAATTGAACGAGTGGGGTGAGGGGGTCCGAGGTCAATTAGCCTGGGGTAAGGGAGGGTTTGAGTGATCAATCCTATTGAATGAGTGGGGTTCGGAGGGGCCCGAAGTCAATTAATCGGTGCTTATCGAAGGATTTTAATTGATCATTGCTAACCTCAAGGAAGGTTGGCGGTAAATGAAAGGTTATGAGTTAAACCCTCTCTAATAGAAGACCCATAATTAATAATTAAAAAGTAATTAAATAATTAAGTAGGTTGAATGAATGGGAGAGGAAGTTTTTATTTGATTTTTTTTCGATTTCTTAATTTTTAAAAATTATTTTCTCCATTATCCTGCTACTCATTTTTCTTTAACATGTGAATTAAATTAGGAACGTGTCAGAATTCGTTTCCCCTCTCTCTAAGGCTACCGTCAAATAAAAATTGCAGAGCGCGCGTGATTTTTATCTGTTGATAGCCTAGCATTTTCTTCACAACTCTATCTACCGTGTACTTAAAAAATTCCAAAAAAATATTTTTAGAGAAACTCCTCCCCTTTAACAAATTCGACTCCTTTAGAAGCTCCTCCCTGTTAATGCTCCACCCATAGCATTCTCCTATACATTAATGTCTATATAAACAGATTTATTATGGCTAAAGTCAATCATTTATTTAAAAAACTTCAAAAACATCGTCTCCTCCAAAAACCTTAAAAACTCTAGAAAATCTTTCTCCTTGTGAAAGAAGTAAAAAAAGAAATAAGAGGCAAAGCAAAAATGCTTCTTTTGCCTTTCAATCTTGTCTGGCTTGCTTTGATTCTGGCTTCATTTTTTGATAAAAATGTTGCTTATAATGAAGATGAATTGATGGCAACAATACAACAAAACCTTATTTATGCATTGTTTCCAGGCGATAAATTCCCTCAGACTCGATACAAATTCAATAATGGTGTAATTTTTCTTTCATTTCTTTCCAATAATTTTGCCGCTAGAAGTTTAGGATAGAAATAAGTATTTTTGAGAAATATCCATTTAAATTACTTAGAAATTATAATTTTTTAATTTATAATTTTAAAATGCTAGTTTTGTCTTTAGTTTTTATAAAAATTGAATGAGGGGGACGGGTTGAGGGAATATATGAAAAATATTAAAATTTGCCAATTTTACATTTTTTAACGAAAAGCAAATTTTTCAAATTATTTTTTTTGATATTTGATCAAATAAAATTTGACTAAATATTTGATTTTCCGGTGTTAAATATTTGTTTAGTTTGATCTTTACTAACAACCTAGGTGACAAAACATATTTTGTATGTCGAAAAATAAAAGTTCCTTCTTGTTCAGAATTTACTTTGAAATAAACTTTAAAAATTTTCAAGATAATGAATTCGAAGAGTGGCGCTTCAATCAGTTAGTTAACATTGCCGAGATAGATAATAACACTGGAATGCCTCGAGGGAGTACACAATCGAATGATGTGCTTATGTATGATGAATGGATTCACCTTCAAAATGAGTGGATTTATGTGCAGGGTGAATGGATTCAAAATAATTTGAATGTTGAAGTGTTTGATACTGCTGTGTCAAGCCTTATAAATAAAGTTGCTGCATTTACCTCAAATAATAGCAACTTAAACTCATGTGATCATATTACTGCTGAGAAAGATTTGAAAGAATATGATGAAGAACAAGAGAAAATCAGAACAACATTAAGAATTAATCGTGATAAGCCAAAAAAAGAAAAGAAAAAAATACTTTCGAAAGGGAAAAAATTGCTTGCGAATTTTTGTCAATGTTTTACCCCTTCTTCAACATCTCCTCCACACTCTTCTCGTCACGAAACTTCCACTCATCACAAACCTTCAACATCTCATCGTGAAACTTCTCCACCAAACACAAAAAACCAGTGTGAAGTACTAATCGAATTAATTATTCACTGCAAAGTGTTTATTAGAGATTTACATTCTGAAAGTGGCGAAGGCTCTTTGATTGATATATTCTCTTTTATGGAAAAACATGAAGAACTTGATAATCTTATACAAATTTTAAATTTGTCTAAAATTCAAAGTAAAGAGTTAGATAAAGCTATAAATGAGAGAATTTATCAGGAGCATTTGGAGAATAAAATGAGAAAAGGATATAAAAATGCAATTGTGCAAGGGGCTGGTCCTGTTGGTTTATACGCTACCTACAAACTTTTTATTGGTAAGACATACTTACAGAATAAGGGAGATTCAGCTGGCTACATTTAATACTCTTACTGGGCTGGAGTTGTATGATTAAAAGAGAAATTGAAAAGCAGGGCTTCAGTAGCTTATTAGAAAAAACGTCTGGCTACAATTTCCAGGAGTCGTTTAGTGTTCGGCGCGCTCATGGCGTTTTGCGTTTGGCGTCCATTTTTGGCCGATTTTGGCGTTTAGCGTTTGAAGTGATTTTCGTTTTTTGTCACGCAAAACGCCAAAATTATACACCCCTTACGAATACGATAAACCATCAATTTCCGATTTATTAAAAAACTATTTTAGAAGGAGTGAATGTAACTCTAGTAAATGATCGTTCTGAAGCGTACATACGAAATCGAGTTGTCTTTTTTGACCGAAAATGGATGTCACAATTACGTTTCTTTTTGGGCACTGAATTTAATATATTATTTGATAAAGAAGGGAACTCGTTGGGAAGTTTACTTGATGAAGATATTGGGTTTGTTAATATAAAAAATATGGAAAATGTTTTGAAGGAACGGTTAAAAAAGCTATCAAATTATATAATTAAAAAAGAAGGAAAACAAGGAAACTTATTCTTAAATTTGCTATATGAGACAGCAGTTTTGGACATAAACACACAATATGGAAAGCCTTTGGCTGTTCTTGGCACTCCAGCTAAACAATTCAATCCCTCTGCCCAAACCTTTTTGCAGTCTGTGGCAAATAAACACTATAATGGAGATTACCAACAAGCACATGATTCCCTATTGCAGAGCTATTTGGAACAAATTAAACAACATTTTGGAGATGAAAATCCTTACTTTGCTTATACTCGTTATAAAGGAGATAATGCTGTGGAGTATATAAAGGCTGAAACCCTTGCCCAACTTCAAGTTGAAGGAAAAGCTTTTGGAATTAAAAATTTAGGAGAAGAATTGAGGGAAATTGGAGGGATACCAATTCAGACATCTTTTGGAAGGAATGATGTAGGAATTCCTTTTGATTTGTTTTTCTGTGCTGGTGGTGCAAATGATCAAATCCGCAATCAATTTTTGGGTAAAAAAACATTTTTACCGTGTCTCTATTAGCCTTAGGGGCTGTTGACCGTGACTCTATTCTTAGATTTCCGTCGTTTATCCAATCACTTTATCTTGCTAAAAAGCTGTATTATTTCCATATTTTCAGAGCCAGCACAACAATTGACAGAATCAAAAAATTATGGTGTTGTTATCTTCAATAAAAAGGATCGCAGCATTAAAGTCTTTGAAGATTCTGCTGCTTTCTACCGTGATCCTATGGCTGATATGAGGAAACATCTGATAAAACAGAATATTAATGAATTAATTTGGCAAGCTGATTTTCTTTCTGATGAACTTAAATCAATGTATGCTAACTTAACTAAAATGATTTTAAAAGATGATTATATTGTTGTTCGTCTTTTTGAGTCAAATCCAACATTGCATATTGCTTCAATAACACCTAGAGCACTTGTAAAATTTATTGATGCATTTAATAAAGAGAGAAGAAGCCGTGCTAATGAATTGCATCAAGATGAAAATAATTTGTTTTTGCAACTTATTTCCATGGGAGATTTAGAGCGTTGGCATGAATTAATTGAAATGAAAGACAAAAATGAACAAATATTAAAACAATATGACGATTTTCACGAAGAGTTACAAAAGAAATGGGCCAGGGCTCTTTTTAGTTATATGGGTAAGCTCCTAATAATAATTCCCAGAAAGTTACAAGTCGGTTCTGCCCGGCGAAATTATTTATTCTTATCTTATTCTTATCCAAACTTAATTTACATATTTTATAGAAAAATTTAAGGTCGATGGGGAGTTGAGAATGGAGTTAATGATGAAGGGTTAAATGCCGCTTTGAAAAAAGTTCGAAGACGAGTACTCGAGAAAGCACAGGAATATGTAAAGATAAATCACGGAGTAACAATGGACCTTGAAAATTGAAGAAGAAGTTGAGGGTTTTCACGTCTTTATAGTTTAGAAAAAATGTATCGTTGTAACTACGGTTGTTTGTTCGTGGAAATCTCAAGATATCCGCAACAGGGTTCCCCATCTCAGTTTACCGTGCCCTATTTACATTTTGTTTCTGACTAAAAAATGCAAGACTTATGCGTTCTACAGAAAAAGTAAAAAATTCTTTACATTCTCCAGCAGTTTTGTTGATAATTCTTGATCTTAAGGGGCAAGACTTGCTTTGTTATGGGATAAGTCTTGTCTAAATTTTGATTTTTGAACCGAAGCACATTTTTGGAAATGAGGAACTGAACTCAAGAACAAACTATGAATCCTCGTTTAGAACCTATAACCCTAGTTATAATCACCACAAGGACTCAACATTGTTGACCGTTGAGATCCACATTATTTATCTTTTTTGAATCTAAACATTTTAAACTAGTGCTGGGTATGATTCAAACAGTTTTGGTCTAAACTCGGGGACCTGGCTGTAATTTGAAAAATACCTTTCTTTAATTCAAAAATATCTTAGCTTTTGGGCTGGAACTTTTTTTTTAAAAAGGTGCTTCAGACCTGTAAAAGAGTAAATACTCAGCACTGCTTATAGTCTAGCGTTATCCTCGATTAAGAAATATATTTGATCCCCGCTATACCGAATCCTCAATTGTAGATGGTAAAACAATATTATACATAACTGAGGAGACGGTATAAAATATGAAAGGTACCGAACCTCAATTGTAGTCCTCAATCAAATATGAAGGTATACAGGGAGTCAAAATTATTTTTAACCTTTGAAATGCCCATATATACTATGTATATCATCTATTTTTAATTTTTTTTTATTATCCAAAAATTCACCACAAGGACTCAACATTGTTGACCGTTGAGATCCACATTATTTATCTTTTTTGAATTGTATTCTTTTTGGAGTTGGATAAATTGAAACTATTTTATTTTCTTCATTTTTTTTGAGTTGGTATTCATCAGATAGAAAATTAATTTTTCGGGTAGGTGATTAAATTTTAGAAAATTGATGGAAAAAATATCCGCGCCTCTAAGTTAAAACAATTGAATGGTGTCGCATTTTTGTCATTCTCTATTTTGATGAAAACGATTTGGTGTTAATGAAAATGTTTTTCTATTATTTAGATATCATATTTCCCTTTTTATCGCTGCGAACCTATTGAATTAATATTTGTCTTTTATGAATTATTTGATTGCTAATGTCAAGAAACAGTAGAAATACATACATAGAATCATCAAATCTGGCCAATAAGAGCAAAATTCTTTATAATATTTAACGATAAAATTTTATTGTTTTTGAAATTTTATTTTCAAGTTTATTTGCAACCAAGTTGTATAATAAATTTTACTATTTTTTGCTCAGACTAGCAAAATCTTTAAAAATTTATATTTCCAATGAAGACCTCCCCTTCTCATTGCCTTTCTTACATGGGCAAAGCAATTCTTGTATCTTTCCGGAAAGGATAGAGCAATTTTCAGAAATTTTTTTATCTTCCTTCTTTTTGCCTTCTCCGAGTAAATTTAAATTTTCCTTACTGATTGACGTAAATTTGGATAGGATTGGGTAAGATTGCCTTAACTCTCTTCAAACTCCTCCCTTTTACTCTCTTAGCTCTCCACTTTATTAATGTCCATCCATATAAACAAATTTATTCTAGCCAAACTCAATCAGTTATTGAAAAGAAATTTCAAACCCTTTAAAGTCTTTAAAAATTATAAAAATCCTCCATCTGAAAGTATCCAAAAAAAGGCAAAGCAAAAATGCTTCTTTTGCCTTTCAATCTTGTTTGTTCTGCTTTGATTCTGGCTTCATTTTTTGACAATAATGTTGCTTATAATGAGGATAGGTTGATGGCAACAATACAACAAAATCTTATTTATGCATTGTTTCCAGGCGATGAATTCCCTCAGACTCGATACAAATTCAATGAAGGTGGAATATTTATTTTAAGGATATGTGCGGATGGGACGAGCTAAGAAAAAAGTCGCGGGTTGCATCTTCGGATCGAGTTTTCAAGATATTTTTTCGGATCGGGGTTCAGGTCGAAAGACGAAGGTTTTAAGTTACTTTTTATTCAAAATATTCCTTTAGCTAATTTGTGAAATTTTTATAGATGTGGGCTTCGAAGATTGGCGTATCGGACAGTTTGTTAACATTGCCGAGATAGATAACACTGGAATACCTAGAGGAAGTACACAATCGAATGATGTGCTTATACAGTAGTCGACAAAAAGATAGGGACAAACGCATGTGAAACGAAAATCGCCTATTATCTCAACTAAAAATCGATTTCAGGAAAAATTTTTTTGTTTAATTAAATACTCCATTTAATGCTCTATTTAATGAGTATAAGATCTACCGGATTATTATTTTTTGAAATACTGAAATAATTTAACTAAAAAAGTTATGCAAATTTCAGCCCGACAAAAAGATAGGGACAAGTCTTGTAACTAATTATTCACTCAACCAAAAAATTTATAAAAATTCGTGCGAACATACTGATCGATACTAAGATAAAATAAAAAAGAACTAGGCCCATATCTCGTTTTATTGTCGAGATCTCAATACCCCGAAAATCAACGTAAAACAGGGGTTTTCAACTTCAAAAAATATTTTCGACCCCTTATGGATTTTCTAAAATTTTTATTTTAAGCCCATTCGATAGCCCTTGAAATTTGCTATAAACTAGCCAAATTTCATTTTTGAGAAAAAAACATTTCGTTAGCTGTAGAGGCTAACGTCACAAAAAACAGCAAACGCCCCATAAATTGCTTCTTAAACGGCATTTTGGTGAATCGTCGTCCTTTATCTCGGGAGTGAAATTTTTTTGAAGAATGAAATTTGGCTAGTTTATAGCAAATTTCAAGGGCTATCGAATGGGCTCAAAATAAAAATTTTAGAAAATCCATAAGGGGTCGAAAATATTTTTTGAAGTTGAAAACCCCTGTTTTACCCGTGTTTTTAGGGTTCCGAGATCTCGATATTGAAATGAGATATGGACCTAGTTCTTTTTTATTTCTTCTTAGTATCGATCAATATGCTTCCACAAATTTTTGTAGATTTTTTGCTTTTATGAAAACTTTGTTACAAGACTTGTCCCTATCTTTTTGTCGCGCTTAAAATAGCATATCTTTTGTTTTTTAATAATGTTTGGATTTTATAAAATTTTAACCAGGCAAATTTTCTACTTATTAAATAGAGAATTAAATGGAGTATTTAATCAAATAAAAAAGTTTTCCTAAAATTGATTTTTAACCGAGAAAATAGGTGATTTCCATTACACTTGTGTTTGTCCCTATCTTTTTGTCGACTACTGTAAATGATGAATGGATTTACCTTCAAAATACAGGAAATTCTGGAGCATTTAATGGCGTGTTTTATAATGCGGTGGCAAATCTTTTACATAAAGTTAGATTATTTACTTCAAATAATGACAACATCAACTTCTGTGATCATAATAATGTTAAAAATGATTTGGAAAAATATGATAGTATCCAAAAGGAAACAAAAAAAGCATTGCAGGAAGCTCCTGAAAAAAGGAAGGAAATACTTTCGAGAAGAAAAATTTGGCTTTCGGAAATTTGTCAATGTTTTACCCCTTCAACATCTTCTCATCACTCTTCCCCTCACCCCTTTTATCATGAAACTTCCCCTCCAAACTCAAGAAACCGTTGCGAGGAAATAATCGAATTAGTTATACGCTGTAAAGTGTTTATTAGAGACTTGTATTCTGAAAAGGGAGAAGGCTCTTTGATTGATATATTCTCTTTTATGGAAAGTGATCCTAACATGAAGGATTTAAAAAAGATTTTTGAATTATCAAAAATACAAACCAAAAAATTGGATCAAGCTATAAATGAAAGAATTTATGAGGGACACAGAGAAAAACTCAAAAATATGCATTCAGTTGTTCAGGGTGCTGGTCCAGTCGGTTTATATGCTACCTACAAACTTTTTATGGGTAATTTGATCATTTTAAAAATTAAAACGAAAGAAGAGGAAAACAAAAGTTTTAATTTAGAATTTAAGAGAAATTTCATGTGTCCGAAATGAAATTAGGTGTTGTGACCGAACTTTAGATATTATGTTACTTTTTTATTTACCTATCTCGTTTCTAGGTAAGCATAAAATGCAATTAGTCTGCGAGAAAGTTCAATTTAATGTCTATTAAAAACTATTTAGAAGGAGTGAATGTAACCCTGGTAAATGACCGTTCCGAAGAGTACACACGAAATCGAGTTGTCTTTTTTGATCGAAAATGGATGTCACAATTACGTTTCTTTTTGGGTACTGAATTTGATAAATTATTTGATAAAGAAGGAAAATCGTTGGGAAGTCTCCTTAATGAAGATATTGGGTTTGTTAACATGAAAAATATGGAAACTTTTTTGAAAGAAAGGTTAAAAAATTTATCTAATTATATAAGTAAGAGGGAAGAAAAACAGGGAAATCAACATGAAAAATCATTTCTGAATTTGATCTATAATACAGCAGTTTCGAACATATATACTGACTACTATGTAAAACCTTTGGCCATCCTCGGTGCTCCAGAAAAGCGTCGTGAATTGTTTAATTTTAATCATGTGAGAAAATTGTTAACGAATTATGAAGGAATTACAATTTCCGAATCAGATGAAATAATTGGAATTCCTTTTGATTTGTTTTTCTGTGCTGGTGGTGCCAGAGACCACATACGAACAAATTTTCTAGGTTAGATTACAAAAATAATTAATTTATACAATTCTTTTGAACGTTATCAAGTCTTCTAAACATAAGCGGAGCGCAGAGCGGGCCAGTTGAGCCCCGCAGGTTGAGCGCCAGCCGACTTTGATCGGCTATAACTTTTTTGTGCTTGAATCACTCCTAATGATTATTATATCATTCGAAAGCCCTCGATAAGCGGTATCTTTTTTCCAACTGGATGGATCAAGTCTGATCATCGGTTAAAAAGTTACAAGTCCATAAGTGCAGGAAATCGTTGTTTTTCACACTTATCGACTTGTAAC